CGGATTCTTTTTATACGAGGAGAACCACTTTGCGCTAACTATTGTCGCGATCCTCATTTAAAATGGAAATCCGACGCGAATGGAACAGTGACGTGCAACAAGTTTCCAACGCGGCATCGACGACTTTTCGACGGTGGAACGCGAAGCCTTTGAGCCCCTTCCCGGTTCTCGTTCGTCGATCGCTTTATTTCTTCATTAAGTCGATCTAATTAGGATAAAAGCACTCAGCTCGGCGCGGCGGCGGCAGCGTCTGAAGAACAAACAGGGCCAAAGCGTTCCATCCACGCCGGAATTATAATCACGCTAATGCAAATCCTGCGAATCTCGATCGAACTGAAATTGCATGTATTAAACGACGAATCATCCTTCACGCGTTCTCCTTTTCAAATCCCAAATGATGATTGTATCTTTCAATTTACTTCGAACTTGATTGATATTTTAAATCCGTCCAATGTGCAAAATTTTTTAAATACACAGATCAGTCAATTAATTTACGTCATACACATCCTCAATATTATACAAATTAATGCATTTCATCTAACAGTTGTTATAATGATTAATAAAATATCCAAATACAATTTTTCATACTATAGTTGATATAATATTTTATACAATAATTCATACATTAATTCAGCGTTTAAATAATAATTCGATTGATTATTGCAAAATGCTTGAAACTGGGTTGCATGTACAATGATGGGGAACTTGCTATGAAGAAAATTGCGCGGGACGCTTAAAATCCGATCGAGACTTCCGATCGATGAACATTGTGACAGGAGCGATGTGTACGGCAGCCTAAAACCTCCAGTTAGCGTGTAGCGATTGTCAGGCGAAAGCGTGTTTAACTCGATCAGCGTCAAGTGAGTTTCACGCGCGACGCGTTAACCGCGAGCCGGGAAATTCTCTAGTACGTCGCTCTTATCAAGCTCCAAGAGAAAGAGAGAGACACGCTCTGTGTATTTAAAGGATTAACCGTCACGGAATCAGCCCCCGATACGTACTCCAACTCGTCAAGCTGTGGATCTCTTCGAGTTGGTATCATTCGCCGAGATTCAAAAGTGAATAGAACGAAAGAAGAGTATTTATTCAACGAATTTTCCAATCGCAGCTTCAATTAAATACCATAAGAATATAAATTTTTCATAAAAAAAATGTAATGCCTGTATTTAGTAATAGTAGCTGTATTTAATTTTGTATGTTGTACAAATTCATTCTCTCACTTGATTTAAAACCAGTTTTAAGAAATATATCAGTACACGATAAAATTTATTCTTCACTAATTTTCTAAACGTTAACGCTTCTTTCAAAGATATGAGTGTTGAATAAATTTTCATTAAGCCATTATTCACGACTTAAATAAAGAGGTAAGCGCGATAACCATCTTCGTTCGTTTAAACGAAGAATTAACAGAAAAGCGTTGCGAGGTTTAATTAAAAGGAAATTTGCCGCGGTTTAGCGAAGCGAATCGCTTTGAAACGGAAGAAAACCGTGGATTAAAGGATAACGTATGCGCGGAATGTAAGGTAATGAGGATCGTGTATATTCGAGCCGTGAGACAACGATCGTTTGAGAATAATAAAGTCTCGAGAGATGCTCGGGAATCGAGGGTGAAATTCTCTTTTGCGGGTTTCAAAGTCATACCCAGGAAATTATGCACTGTAACGTATCAAGTGACTTCAGCACCTTTTTAAAGTGAAACGAGTTTCGTTTATCATTTTTACAACTGCAAGGACCAAATAAAAAGTGCTACGTTGATCGAATTCTAATATCGATCTTATGAACTCAATTATGGCAATACATTTTTCAAGATGTTCTATAACATAGTTTGATTTTACTGGACAATCAGAAACGTTTTGGATAAGTCTTTTTGCTACAAAGGAAATAGAAATACATAGGGTAGCTTTGATGCAAAATTCTGGCATATATTTTCCGAGGAAAGTGTACGTGTGTTTGCGGGTGAATTTCAATCATTTCAAGCATCGATCACGGGCCGACAGGCTTTTGCACTGCATTGATCGAGCCGCACGAGCATATTCAATCCGTAGAATGGAATTTCCTAAGCATGGTGGACTTCTATTCAACAAATGTATCTTTGACTTCTCTCGAATAGAAATCTCACGGTTGCTTACACGATGAATCGAACGTCATAAATAAAGGGGTCCCTCCCTTCTGACGTCGGATCGAATGCAGATTTATGGATTACAGTGTGAATCAATAATAATAGACGTATACAGCGAGCGACTACTGTTTCGTGAACTTTGTATTTAATGGAACTCATTAAATTAATGGCTTCTTGTGTTGTAACGTATAACACTTTGTTTTCAGAAAGCTTTTCAATAGCAATTCTTATTGCGTTGAAGTAATAAGAGTATTTAAATGAAAATTGTTTGTAACTCGATTACTCAAATGGATAAAAGTTTGTTGGACGTCATTCCTCAATGGTACTATCCTCATTGTATTTAATGAACCATGTGGCTTTTTTCCTGAATCCCGTCGAGACGAGATAATGTACCACAATATGATAACAAGTAAAGTTTTCATATCGTCATTATAAATAAATGAAAAGTATTACAGATTCAGTTGCATGCTCAATCTTCTGGAAACATTGCATTACATATATTATTAATATAAAGAATGAAAGAAGAATTACGTATATTATTATAATAAAGAAATGTATATATATAAATATGAACTGTAAAAGACGGTTTCAAGTTGAAGATACTATTTGATCTACTGTGCAAGTAGTATAAACATTCGTACGTCAGACAAGCTACGAAGAGAATGTATCAATAAGACTTTCTACATTTTTTCACGTAATTTATGTGTAATGGTGTTCATCATGAAACGTGCAATCTTATGCATAAAAGGAAACTTGTAATGCAGAATTAGCGTTTAGATGATTTTCACTGGAACGAACAACGCATAACCGTTTGCCAGTGAGATCGCTGTCAATATTAACCTACTTATGTTTGCGCGAGCGTCATATGTCTCGTGAAATCTTGGTAGCGATTGGAATGCGAGCTCGTCCCTGGTGGCACGCGGAAAATGTCCGAAATTTCCATAGCTTCCCGATTGTCCCTCGCCGTGGAAGTTCGATTTTCTCCCTCAAGCAATGCCAAAGTCTAAAGATAGTTGCACATCACTAAATGAACTGCGGACATTTTGTCAGTGTTGGTAGAAAATTTATTATAATAAATTGTAAATTAGAAAATTTTACGGTTTATGCAGTTAAATTAAATGTTAATTAAATTTAACATGATAATTATTATGAAATACAAGCAGGAAATTTAATTTTATTTCAGTTTGCTGAGGAATATATTTTTAATGCAGTGCACGTGTATGAAAATTCGTGCTGTTGGTCTTCTCGTTGGAGATTATTTTTTTATTTAACATGATCCATTATATATAAATCGAGAGAAATGTTCGTACCTCCCCTACTCGGTGAATTCCGTGATCGTGGACAAATTCGGAAAAACGATCAAAAATGCCAGCTGTATAAAGCAACAGGCTCTTGACCTAACACCCTCGATCATTCCGGCAGCAATTAACATCGTGATCCGGTCGCGTGATTTTCACTCAAATAATGACCGAAAAACCTGGCGAAGCTAATGTACTTGTCGCTTTTCAAATGAATTTTCTGCAAATTAAATAAGTAATTTTATCTCCAGTTATTAATTTCTAGGAAATGAGCAACTGAAACGTTATACCTTCGTTAAATTCATAAAATTACTAGCTCTAAGTGAATGTTCGAAAGTAGTGAACGTAGAAAAGGTCATAACACTAAGGATGTATAGGCTATACACTTAAACAATGCTAGTATGTAGAATTTATTATTATAGATTCCTATTACTATTCAAAAGCTACTTGCAAAATTTTAAATCAATTCATGGATTTTTTGAAAAAAAAAATAATGACTTCTATACTTTTTAGCACGTAACTATTTATTCCTAGCATTGTTCTTCCGACGTCGGATTTCTTTTTAATTATAGGAAATGCATTTTTCTAAGATACATAAATTTTTAGGATTGACTGTATAGCCAATACATCCTTAAGCATCGTATATCTGTAGAGAACGTATATCTATTAATTATAATTTAGACATTTTTGCATTATTAAATTTCCTACTGTTTAGAGTGCTTGAATTACTATTCATAATCTGTTAATAACTTTATAAGTGATATAGAAATTGGAATGTGGCGTTGTAGCCGCAGAAGGTCTATTCGTTCATCTAGTTCGTGTTATCACTATTTCCCTGTAGTATCAGCAACAGTTAAGCATTAGACTACTTACTGCTGCTAAAATAACATCCGAAAATTGCGGATGTAGGTAAATTAAATTAATGATATGTAACAATATTATAGTAGTAATATAGGATTAGATTTATTATCTAGTATTACTTTTTCCGCATTCATGTAATCTGATATTCTAAATAAGAAAATGTTACCCGGAAAGCTCGTACCTTCGATATAGGTGGAAAGCGCGCTACATCCAGTTTCCACTAGTTGGAGCTTCGTGATCCGTTTTCCAAAATAAAAATTATCCCACGGAGATCCTGTACTATTTTTCAAATCGATGAATACGAATTAGTACGTAGTACTTTGTCTTAACTTTTATAGAATATATGACGCGAACTGACGAATATTTGACTCCATTAGAATTTAATCAATTAGAATTGTGTCTTATCGTAAGAAATCAATTTAGAATATAGTTGTAAACTTACATTATGATATTGTACTTGACGATAAAACAAACTTCATTTGTTAATACGCATAAAAATGACAATACTGACATCGTATCTCTACAATTTCTGCGACACTTTCGTGACCGTCATTTGGCAAAGTGGTTAGACAGAAGGGTACTCGGAAATTTAATGGCTTTTCGCAGAAGTTCCTCAACAGAATTTGTAGAAAATGGAATTAAAGGGTAGGTAGAATCGAAACGGATCACTTGGTTATAGTTAAAGTCTATCGTCAATTGAATTTTCTTCAGTCGTTTAGTGAGTTTCGTTCGAGTCGGTTGATTTTTAAACGAAACGAAGCGAAGAAGAAATGAGAACAAACGGATTACCTACAACAAAATTGAGATGCAGTAGGTCTTATATTTTTTTTCGATAGAATCACGAGCGTCGAATTAGAATTACAAATTCTATATAATTCATGCATTATACTTGGAATACAAATTCTATATAACTTATGCAATTATGCTTGGAATATCTATCACGTAGAGAGTTGGGCAAACTTCGCGCAAACTTTGAAAAGAATTTCGCGCGCTTATTGCAAAAACACCGGGCTGCACGGATTTCAATATATCGTCAGAGGCGAGACTACCTTTGAGAGAATCATTTGGTTGATGGTAAAAAAATAATTACAGTCCGTCTCTAAATTTTACTTAGTTTCAATGATTAATATTTAAGGTCTGCACATCGTCAGTTTTCTTTTGCGTGACGCTAATGTTGCGCCTATGGCAATATTATTCGGACAATCCAATAGTGACCACAATTGACACGACGAATCCTGTAAGCGAATTGCATTTCCCTGGAGTCACTATATGCAACAACAATAAAGTGTTTAAACCTCACGCTGATAACATTGCTAAAGAATTGTGAGTGATCATCACTTCAATGCCTTACGACTTTTTACAGGAAATCAATGTAAACTTTGTAATTATAAATTATAGAAATTTTATTTTTTATTGTAATTTGTAATTGCAATCTCAAGATACATTATTAGTGTGTATTGGGGGAAAACCTTGAAAAAATGGTAATGTTTTAAGGCTGATGAAGGGATTCGATAATAGCATGAGCAACAAGCTGTTCTCCTCCCTAATGAAACTGATACGGCCAGATAGAATGAAGATCGATAATGGAACGGCAACGCGGGCTCTCGACATACTCGGTTACACCGTCGAGAAACTTATGTTTGAGGTAAACAACGCTATTCCTCTAATCATCTCCCTTTACAAGGACATAATTGATTTAGAAGCGAAGGCAAGTTTGTCAGAAAATTACGTTTACTCTCTAAACCTTTAGATAATTTTACATCAGTTCTGACAGTTGAGAATGCACTTATTATTTGCATTATTAATTGAATTCATATTTTATTTTTAAGACATTGTACATGTGATAAAAGTTTTATACGATGAAAGGTACAATTTTTAAGTGCATTTCTTCGTAAAGTGAATGCATTTTTTATCTTGCAGTTGATGCAACCTTGTAACTTACTCTTAGCAAGGTGCTCCTGGTTGGGCCAACTTTACGACTGCAGTAAAATCTTCAAAACTGTAAAATCGAACGAGGGATTCTGTTGTGGATTCAATTATCATTTCGATTTATTCAACGATTACAAGTAACGTGCAAATACATCAAGTTTTACTTTGTATTTTCCACCTATTTTTTGTAATTAATCCATTTTAGCAAAGAATATCCTTGGCTAATTAAAGTAACGAACAATTCACTGGATCTGAATTCTTCTGAACCATTACCAGGCGTCGAAACGATTCTGGTATTTACATTGCACACATTTTTAAATATAATTTCATTATTGAATTCAATTATTATCTGAGTTCTGTAATGAACCTTCCATAAGCCTCCGTAAGATTTTTCAGTAAACTATTTTAGTGCAATATTCGATTAGATTTCTTACAATCAATAAAAAAAAAATAGAATAGATTAGAACTCCGTAATTCTGGCAATGAATGAAAGGACAGATAAGCGTGCGAATTTTCTTTATATGTACTTCAGCAAGTGCCCGGAACCGGTCATGACATTGGCCTGGCGGTCGCGTTGAACGTTGACGTTAAAAATTACAAAAGTTCTGTAAGACAATTCGTGGGAGCGACGGTGTTGATCCACGATCCGTTAGATTATCCGGATATCGGGGCGCAATCCGCCACTTTGCAACCGGGCCACGTAATGTCGGTGACACTCGGCGGCACAAAAATAAAGAGCTCGGAAAATATCCGGAGCATACCATTGCGGAAAAGGATGTGTCTGTTCGACGACGAGGTAGAAATTTAAAAATAGAACATAGCAAGGAATTCAGTTTTACCTTAAACGCATTTCGTTCGACCCAGAGAATTCCTAGAGGAGTAAAGTTGTTTGTGCAAATTATTTTTAGACACCGGGAGAACGGAAGTACAGCTATCGAACTTGCATTTCAGAATGTACGCATCGAAAACTGTATGGTTCTTGCGGGTGCTTGCCTTTCTTCTACCCAAAGGACCGTGAGTTCTTTCATACCAATTGCTCTTTTTTCTCAACCACTTTATGTACATTTTACTAACGTGCAATGTTTCGCCAGATCCAAGCGATCGCACTTGTTACTTGACTGACATGGATTGCATTTTAACTCGTATGAGTGAGTCGATGGCAAATTATTTGATCTTTTGTAATCGAGTCTTCGAAATCTTATTTGCATTTTGTGATCAGGGAGTTTATCGAGGGAAGAATTACGTGACTGTAAATGCCTTCCGCAATGTAACGACAAGAGCTACGAAATGGTCTCTGAATCGGTGGCATTGAGCAACGTGGAATTCGAGTCCGAACTAACGTAAATATTCGTATAATAAAAAATATCCAGATTATACATGTAAATAACTATAGACTGTACAAACATAATGAATGCTACAATAATTGCATCAAACAGATTTAATTAATTAAATACAAACGCACGTGTTTATAGACGTGGTTTAGATGTGAAGCAGATGTCATTTCTGTACATATACTTCCGCGACGGAACGTTTCTCGAATACCGCAAACGGACTATCTTGGGATGGGACAACCTCCTCGGTAAGAAGGCATCTTCTTCTTTGTCCCATTTAATTAAATTATTGACAGAATAGTTTTAGCCGCCTTCGGAGGTATCTTCGGTCTCTGTCTCGGTGGCTCGGTGATCAGCTTAGTCGAATTTCTATATTACCTCGTAAAAGACTTCATTTCCGTCCGTAAAGTGAAAAGAGAACAACGGAATTTGCCAGCTGCCTCGAAATTGTTCATTTCCGTTCCCGCGAACATGGACTTGGACAAATACAGTAAATCTAATTTATATGGACGCACCCTGTTGGAATGGGACCATCCCCAGCCAGGTCGAAAATGTCCTGATTTGAAGCTTAACATGTATTATGAATAATTAAATTAATGATAAAATAGTTCTTAATCGGTTTAATAACATTATTTTTCATTACACTTGATTGATTGTCTTCTTATAAATACGTAATCAAACGATTGCACTGGAGATAAAGAAATTTGTTAGGATGATTAATAACAGGTGGTACAAACGAAAGGGAATAATTCTGTATTGAAAGAAACCGGACTTGTATTAGAATAATAAAGAAATTAAGAAAATTTCATTTCGAAAATTTTACTTCAAAAACTGAAACTTATAATGTATCTTTTGTCTACGAAATATCTCATTTTAATGTGTTATTCTAAACATTACAATTTTTGAGAAACACGTTTAGAAGACAAAGAGGTGATAGAAGTGGCGATAAATTACAAATATACGTTTACGCATTCCATTTTATTTACGTTGACGTCACTGGACTCGATTTGTTGCATTGCATAGCTCCGTGGCGCGCTCCTTTTTATGGTATCGCTCCGCCTCTGTGCGCCGTCGTCCCCGATCAAAAGCCGCTTCAGATTCGAAAGAAAACGACGGCTCAACAAGCAGTACAGCACGAAATTGGCTGAACTTGATATTGCACTCAGAAGTGTCGCGTACATGCGAAACCTGAAATATCTCGCAAGTCCGGTTCATCAAATGTTTAACGAAAACTTCGACGATTATTGATCGATGTCTTAATCAAATAAATTGTGTCATAATTTTAATGCAGTAATTTCTCAAGCTTTCCGTAATGAAAAATTGTAATAAAGTACAATTTTATAAATTGTGATTAAAAAGAATTGAACGCTTTACCATCTGATAACAGACTTGATAAATCGATTCATGTGACGTTTTAAATGATGAATTCACCTTTCCATCCAATATTCAGAGACCTTCGTCAGGTCTCCACCGTAGAGGAGGGTAAGTGCGCTGAGCCGCGAGGCGAAATGAGTTGGCACCTCGCCGATAAGGAACACGAACACGATGCCAACCAGCATCACGGTCATCCGTGCTTGATCCTGAAGAACAATAAAACTAACACGATTCGGCCGTCCTTTACTCTAAAACTGGTGCGAACTTTATTATTTCATGTGACTTGTAAGTGAGTGCGAAAGATATTTGGTAACCGAATAAAAAATGGATCTTACTTGAATGTTTATTCAGACACGCTAAAGTTAAGATAGTCGACGTAATCTTACGCGTCAGCTAATTTACAACGTAGAATGAAACATTTTCTTCGAAATGATTGTATTTATAGATACGTGATATAAAAATTATTGGTGGAAGTGTCTAAAATAAAATATACGGAATTCGCATATCATGCGCGGACTCACATGATTCCTAGAGAGTTATAAAGATATTTATAAGTACCGGTTGGATTATAAATAGCCGTGTCGAATCGCGTGTGCTAGCCCGATAGAACTTTAATGAAATATTGAGGACAGCTGTAACTTGGGATTAACGTCGTACTACAAGAAAAATATTAATAGAACTTCGTACTTTATCATTCTGCTCTTGTGCTGAATTTAATCATTTGGAACTGTCCTTCCTATCGTTCATTACGACATACTTCAACTATAATTATTTACCCTTAAACGATTTCCTCCTCGTACGTTTCTTCCTTGTAACACCGATTGCCTTTTCATCAAAGTCTTCTTCAGGGATTGACACATGATCATATTCGCCACCAGTAGAAGTACAGTTGGTATTATAGCAAATACCACAAAATGTAGCCAGTTCTGAAGATCATACAACCTGTGGATCAATTGTAATTTCTATTCTCTTTAAAGTTTACAATAATCAGCAGTATAAGTAGGGTAGATGTGATGTAATACTTTTGCTCTGATGTTATTAATCATACACGCAAGGAATATCGTGTTTAATGATTTTATCAAAATACACCGTGAATTTATAAAGATGAAAATGCTTGTATTCCTGTTGAGCTTCGTAACGAAACGAAAGCTGACTCTGCCAAATGATTTCGATACATAAAGTATTTTGAGAACGTACCACGAATGAAAGAAGCTGGTCGTAACCAGGTCTCCGTTCTCATTGTACGTGTAGATGAAGCAGTAAGGAATATTGATCAGAACTGCCAGGCACCCAGCGAAAATCATCAACTTCCTCGCCAAGCGATGGTCGCAGAACTTGGGCGGTTTGCACCTATTCAAGCTGTGGAGAAAAATTTCTTGGCGAACTTGCTTTGTGACTTGTAGTTCAAAGCGGTCGAACGTTTAGGGCGATCGAGTTCGCAGGACGTAATTACGAGTTAATTATAACTTCGAAAGTAATTAGAAGTTTGGCGGTGAACCACGGGGAGGGGAAATAAAAATTGGTTACGGAGCGACGGAGGATTACGAAACAGGTTGCTGCCGATGAGAAAGTAGCGCTAATGAAAAATGGAACATCGTAAGTATGTTCCTTTAATAAACGTCTTGTTCGAGCAGTTCCTTTGAAAATTTAAGAAGGAAAGCTCTTTACAATCTCTATTTGTTAATTTATCTTGTTGCGAAGCGAGGAACCAGTTGCAGAAATGTATTTGTACGTTTATACTAAAATTATAAGTTTTTACTCAGAAGTTATAATTAGATTAATGCGTCCGTAGAAAAATGAAATGTGCAGAGATTGTAAAAGAGACGCCATAAGCTTAAATGATAACAGATCACATTTCTGTAATTTGTACTATAAAAGTTCGTATAAATTAATGTCATTCCATCCACAGTCTAGTTGTAATTAATCAAATTAATCAGCTGGACAAAATTCTTAACTTCAATACAAATGCATTATAACTTTCATATTTCAATACTTCAAATTTCTTTTAATATTTTAATTAAGTTTTTTGTTACCTAAAAACGGTCACCAGTCTGTCAACAGCGACGAACATGGTGGCCCAAACGGTGACATTTGACGTGACGGAGACGACCGGTAAATAAACGAACACGTCGAATTCCAGCCAGCCGTTTTTACACCAAAAGACACCTCGCGCTAATCCGGAAAATAGGAGCATCGAACAGGTGACGAGATCGGCAGCAGCGAGAACTGTAAAAAAATGTAATCAACGCTAATTAAAGATACACGATAAATTGCAATTCCCGACTTCATGTAAAAAATTATATCAGCTGGGAATAATGAATGAAAATTAATACAGATGGCAAATGGTATTAATAGAATGGAAGTAAATGCATACGAGAGTAATTAGATGCTTCTGACGTGAGCTTAATGTTGAAAATAACGTGTTTAACTTGGAACTTTTTCAATTAACTTGTCTCGACACTATTTAATTGTTTATTTATTTACGGGCCGAAAGACTCCATTGCAAATAATGAATACAAAGCAGTAAATAATGCAGAGTAGTAAAACATGAATTCCGCTAGTGTGCATTGACAGGGAAATAAGTGAAGTAAGAAAGAAAAAAAAAAGAAAAAAAGATAGTAAATTTTGATTCTATACAAATATTCATTTGACAAGAGAGAATTTTTATCTTTTCGTTTAACTCGACGACGACGTGTTGAATTCAATTATCGATTTTAGGATTAACCGTTGGCCGACGGATCGGAGAGAAACTAGGTCATATTTGAAACATCCCGGGGAATTTTTAAAGCCACTTAGGAATCATACTTTTTTCGATTAATTACTTTTACAAACATATTTACTATTAATTGTTCGACGTTCTATTAAATTGCTAAATTTCGTTAGGTCTGTCAAGATAAGAATATTTCTTTAGAAATAAGCGTTGACTTTTCCTATTTCTGGAAAGGTAAGTTAAAAATTTCTAAGGATACAAATTTCATAATAAAACATTTATAGGAAGTGAAACAATGGGACTGATTTTCTAAAATCACTTCCGACGAAGTCCTTACGGATGCCAAGTCAACTCCTACAATCGACAGAAGTCGGAATAGAATCCAGGAAGGGTTGAAATAGTTTCGACTGAAAGTAAAACGATTCAAGTTCCACGGCGAAGCGGCATTAAGCTGTTAAGCGGCTTGGAACTCGATCCGACCTGTTAAATACGTGAACACGGACGCCTTAAAATTTCCCTCGCTGAGAACTCGTAGTATTAAAGCGTTCCCGACAATTCCGAGGACCGAGGCTATCGGAATCGCGATGCTGTAAACGATTACGCTGTGAAAAGTCGGTAGCGTCGTCCAGAGACTGATTCCATCCAGAAATATTCCCTGCGACGATCTGCAATGAAAGAAATCATTTTCATCTCTAAAACAACGTGAATCGATCATAAGAATTTCTCGCGTTCTTTTTTTAATACGTTCTAATACTTCATTCTCGATTTTGTACAAAATGTCTGCGCTTTCAAGCAGATTGATGTATTTATTCATTAAACCGAATTACACAAATAATCGGTGTATGTTAAATTCCATAATTATAGCTTAAATGGTATGAAATTCGTCGTAATTTGAGTCAGAATACCTTTTGCAAATCACCGCCACTTGTTCACTGGAATTTACCGTGGCAGGGCTCGTCATTGTTCACTCTGGGAACGTGACTGGTAGCGCGACAAATTTTTAAGCCATTCTCTGGAATAAAAATTCGTAGGAGGCAGCAAACGCGTTCGGCGGGACCCAGCTGGGAAAAGGAGAGGAAATTAGAATCGTATCCGACTTTAAGAACCGACGTGAATTGAACGCTAATGAAATGACTCTGGCTCGTTTAATCGTGATTAAACGACCCTCCTTTGTCTGGATTCTTAAAAGGCGAAGTCCTTCCGCGGTCGTCAACAAATTAATATTATATTTTCGGGAAGCCTGAAGAGTATGAATTATTATAGTAATTTCAGCTAGTACTTTATAAGAAGATCAATGGATAAAAAATTGGAAATAGAAACTTCAAACTGTCCGTTGAATAAAAATTGCATGGACCGTTCCACAGGCAATAGCATATTTTTAAATCGAATCTAAATGAATTCAATTTATTGCAATTACTAGTTTCAATTCGTGAGAACATTCCAGCACATGATCCAATTTCCACTGTTTCGTCGGGATTAAAACAACTGAAAAGCGGCGTTTCATTTGATTTCGAAGATCGGCGAACAAACTGACGAATAAAATGAGTCCTTGTTATTCGTGTCCTTTAGAATTCAGTCGGCGACGACAAGCTCGAACACACGTCCACCAGAGTTTATCGGCAAACGGGTGGCAGTCTTTGAATCGAAGCGAACCGTTCGTTCATTACGCGATTGCGATTTCTATCGAAGAAAAAGACACGCTTTTGCGGTTCAGTTCGTTTCGTCTGGAACACGTGAATAATAATAAAACCTCGCCTCTCCCGTTTCAAAGCAAAGCACCCAGCTTCTTTATACATCCAGTGTAACCATAGAATCTTGGGAGGAGCTCGTTTAAAATAAATTAATCGTGATTATTTTACAAACAAATAAATTCAGAACTAAGGTAACGAATATGACTTTCTTATCAAAATTATTAATAAATAAATCCCTCAACCCTGATTATCACCTTGAACGATTCGTTCCTAAAAGAGGGCGAGTGACGATTTAAATTGAACTGGCAGAACGAATGGTACTGTTAAAACTAGAACCGTTGACAAGTGTTTTAAAGCTTGCATTTACGAGAGGCGTCAGATAAACTGATAATGAATATGCAAATGTCCCGGACCAGGTGAAATCGATACACGTTGAGCTCGTCATATCTGATTCGGTATAGATGCTCTATTAAAGAAGATTTATGAAACGAGCAAACAAAAGCGCAGTGGTGCTAATAGAATGACAATGCAATACGTGAATCAACGATATTAATTTCTCGTCTCGCTGAAACATCAAAGGAAAACCACGTTTTTCAGTTCATTTGTTAAAAACTCTGTTTCATTTCTATCGAGACGTTTCATTTAATTAAGGAACAAATACTTTCGACGATATTTAACTGTTTGAACTTTTAATCCTTTTGAAATTTATCCGCACTTTAATTGGCAGTTCTATCACTTTTTATTGGTAATACAAAGTTCGACAACGTCATTGGATTTCTCGAATGCTCCCAATGAAAGGTGAAGCTTAACCATGACGAATGGCGAACAAATTTCTTTCGATTAAACGTAATGGAACGGTACCGATGATCCATGACATATAATTATAATCGATAGGACCGGCGACCTTTTCCTCGTTAATTGCGCAGCTGACGCGCGCCTTGTTGCTGCAAACGATAAATTGGAGGTAATCGAATTTCGAACAATCATCATTAGCAATTATTATAACAAAGTCAAAAGGAATTCTTTTATCTGTAAATAAAAATATGCGATATTTCTTCAAAAAAACACATACGCGTATCTGCTATGAGTTGAAGCAGGCAAAATTCTTGTTCACTTTTTTTTATACATATAGTATAAAAGTATGTGCGTCATGCAAGAGAATTACTAAATATGGAATGCTCTCTGCAGAGAGCAGACGAACAGGTTTACCGACGACGAAATTTTTTTTATTACAACGACGATAAAAAATTAACATAGGGGGCAGATTCGTCTTGATCATTTTTCAAGCGTTAACGAACGAGCTTTGATGTATCCATGGTAACAACCGTGATAACGGTTATCGATCACCCACGGTTCTCAGCACCTTCCGTCAGCTCGGTCGCGAGTATACGATAAATTAATAGCGGGGAAATTTCGAGTAGAAGGAGTATCGAAACAATACCTGCAACCCGTGTATTAACTGGAGCGGGTTAATTTTATTTCCGGAAATTCCACGCGGACCAATCAGCCCGCGCTGCGCCGGGTTCTTGCGACACCGTAAAATTACCGATACCGACCCTAGCCTCACCGTTTTAGCCACCCCCTTTCGATTGCCCTCCCCCAGATCCGCTTTAGGTCACCGAGTAAATTCCATAGATTCAGCAAGAGTTATCAAATCGGTCTTGGAATAACGCGAAACATTCGAGGAACGTGAAATAAAAACGAAAATTAGGGAGAGATTAAGCAAATAAGATTGATTTACGGAAAGTAAAAAGACGTACAATTATTTTGTCCAGCTTTTTATTATAGGAGCCCAACATTCTCGTATCACAAGGTTTTTATTACAATAATGTTTCAAACAAATTAAGATTACCTTATAATTGTCCACTAACGTAAATCACGTAAATGTAAAATGGCAATGATAATGCATCTGAATTTCCTGCTTAATGTACCATTTTTTTATCGTCTCGTATATTGCTTAATCGGGATTCGCGTAACGCTCGAAAAAAGTCTACGAGCAGAATATAAAAAGAGTAAAGGAGGGGGGGATTATTATTTTCGGTAGAGCAGGCTGGCCTGTTAATTGAATTCCGCGTTTTAGCAGGCCGTACGCGCGCGTGCCATGTGCCGCATGTTTAATCAGGGAGCCATTTAATTAAAATTTTAATTATCATTCTGTTTTCAAGATACCGTCGCCTCGCGTGCTGCGCGTTTTGTTTTTATTTACAGAATTATCGCCTTTACTCGAACCTCGTCCCGTTATCCCTATCATTCTTTTATATGTATACACGTGTTTATATAACTTCTTCATCGTGCAATTTGCACATTATTCATCGTTTCTCGCAATTGTCGATTGTTGATCGAAATTCATGGAAATTATTATAATAACGATTTGAATAAATCTCTCAAAGGACAGCGTTTCCTAGAACGTATTTCAACATTTTCAACCATCATATCGAATGAATAAATAATCTGACTTCTCTTTTAACCTTCCTAATTTTTTAATTTCTCGTTTTTAAATATTTTATATTATCGATCAATTATCATAACAAAATATCGTTTCATTCTTCAAATGTTTAAATCACATTTTAATAACGTTTTACATATTTTCATTGTTGGGAAGACGTACCTCGAACGCAAAAGATGGTAACAAAGTTACGCAAATGAATATGCAACTCGCTGTGCAAAATTTAATTACGATCGAAAATAATTACCGTGAGACGTATACAGTTCTGTGTTACACCCACAGGAACAAAGCTTTGCAAGTACTCTATTAATGATATATAATATATTGCAGCTCTTTCAAATAATTAAATAATAGCGACAGCTGCGTCAATTAAGTATTTAATTAATTTTCTTACTCAGTCTCAACATCAATAATATATTATATAATAATATACTCTTCTTATCATTAATCTTTCACATATACAATCACTCATCCTCGCCATGTTCCTAATAAAATAAATCTAACAATAATACATAAAATATAATCAATTAAACGACGTGAAATAAATTAAATAATCTTCTCAATCTCGAACTGAGAGCATGAAATCTAAGCTGCGTGTGTAAATTTGAAACACTGCTTTTATTACAGCATGATAACTTATAATTCACGAATCCGAAGGCAGCGTAATTGAATAATCCTCTTTAAAATAATCACCGAAGCCGGTGAAATTAGATTTCGCGATACTTCGCCAAGGATTACGTTTTCATCGCGAGTCACGTTGTACGTGCATACGTATTCGGCTCTCTGCGCACTCGGAGAAATATTAGAAATGTTTCGCATAGCTGAAAATCTCTGTGAGAGAGAAATGTCGAATAATATGTACTTACTGTTGCACGACGGAAACGTCCGAGGAATTTCCCTGGCTAGCAATGAACAGTCAAACACTATCAATCATCTCATTTATGCTTTCATTATGCGAAACATTTAGACTCTCTACTCCTATTTTAATCGAAAAGGTCATACTAGTAATTCATAATATTTAAATAAATGGGTCATGATTTTCAATAAACGTACAATTTTATAATATTGCTCCTTTTTTTGGTTATTACTGCAGGCTAATGAAATTGAGAAAAATTGTTAATTAGTAGAAGGACGGTGATCCTGGGTTCCCTTGCTGACTTAATCGGGTTCATCAGGACAGGTGTCGCTGACACACGTTTCTCGTAAGTGACGTGTCTAAAGATAGTAGCATTGTCTCAGGGAAGCGGGCCTCTTTCTCCCCTGTCGAACTCTCGAAAGGGCCACTGATCTATGAATAGGCGGTGGCTAGGTAGCTCTTTGCCTTCTTCTTTACTTACTCCTCTTGTAATCCCTCCTCGTCAACCCTTTTTATCAGGCTTCACTCGACGCTGCTGACACAAAGAAGGTGTTAGGCACCGGCGATCTCGATTTATGGAACAAACCGAAAAATGTTGCGTGGTTTTTTTATGTCTCTCCCAATTTTCTGGCTGGTCAGACGTTGAAGTGATTAATGATAAAATGTGTTTTGTAATCGTGTCAAGAAGCATTCACGTCATTTACAATACATTATGCAATGATTTAATATTGTAAGAAGTCTCTGAAAAGAATGTTAAAAAGCACCGACTTCGGTCCCTCTGTGAATTCTAAATACTAAAAAAGCTGAAGGATTCTCAGTTCTTTATCTGAAACATGCACGTATCCTTGCCTCTCCTTCAAAAATGTTTGAGAAGGAAGCCAAGAGATTTACGCGCAGATCGAAGACGAATTTGCTATACGGAATAATGTTACAAGAACATTTTATCACATATCGCGACGGAACGATGTCCAAGGAGCGTTTACTTTTACCTATCACATACCCTATTTTTGCTTCTTTATTTACTTAGTAGTGTCCATTATAGGTCCATTATATTCACCCGAACAAGAACAGAGTTCTATAGAAACCCCGAGGTGGACCGGAAGGAGCTTTTCTCTAGCTTTCAACGATATTTCCGCTTCAAAGATAGAGGAATTTATTGTTCAGCTACCGGCTTTTCAGACGTCTTCTTTTGAGATGCATGTAGCACCTTATGAACTTCTCTTACGAGTCTTGAGAGATTGAATAATAAAATATTTCATATGGTGATAGATCAAGATAATTGATGAAGCATTAAATTCAAGCAATTTATCACAAGGTGTACGAAGATATTTGATAAGGAATTGGGCCAAGATAATTGATGAATTATTACATTTATGCAATTCAGGAGGTATTGTATGAAGAACGGAATTCATGCAGTTCATGAGAAAGTGTATAAAAATATTTGACGAAGAATTGAATCAAGATAATTGATGATTGATAATTGGATGAAAATATTTGATAAGGAGTCGAATAAAGATAATTGAATCGGAATGAAGATAAAGAATTTCACGTCCGTCGGTCGTCAGTTGACTAAAGTATTTAATAACACACTGCATAATTTAGTCTTGGCAATTTATATGAGTAACTGATAAAGAATTGCACGAAGCATTTTCCCCATTTAATTATCCCATAAATGTTTAATATTAGATTATAGGATTTCTACAGACATTTCTTTATCCGCACGAACCTGGATTTCTTTATCGCGTTTCACGATCAAGAACAAGCAATAGCGACTGCTGCCGCGGGACATTTTTATTCGAACCCGGAAACAGTTGCCAGCACGCGTACGTGAGATATCGATTCCCTACTCGGCAGTCGTTCTCGATTTCCGAAGTCAATCTCACATGGATCACCCTCGCTTTAACCCGAAGCGTTTATTTTCCTTCTACGACGCGCCTTTTTCTCACACGTATCGCGAGAGTCTTTTGGAATTCTTCTCGGTTGGGTTGCTCGATCTCCATCCAGTTCGGGCAACGACGAGAGCCAATACGTGACATTAACACAATTTCTCTTCCGAATCGTAACAAGTGCATCCTATTTCGCGATAAAAGACAAGAGAAAAATTACATCCTAGTAGAAAAATGAGTTTGGACGTGAAATCGATACTGTTTCATACAGATTAATTAAAAATCAATCGAATCTTGTTAGCTCAGCTAATATTTCTCTCTCTATTATTATTATAGTCGATAACTTGATCAGAGCTTTTTCATACGTGAATATTTGCATAACATCCATTATGCAATGAGCAGAGTATGGTACGTGAAAAAGCTATTATAAAATTCCCAAGAAGGACGCATTCACGGAGAATATGAATAAAAAGTGTTATGAAAAAGCCGGACTCAGAGAATTATTATCAAACACAAAAAGGTAGACACATTTCTTTACAATTATTTTAAGTATTTTTGCACAAATCTTTTCGTGTGATATAGTCTCGGAAAGAACCGCGACGGGAGTTAGACGCAACCGTAATCGCTTTAACCACTTTCTAAGGAAGTCTCGTTCGCTAAGTTCTTGCCAGAAACACCGTTTTCTGCGTACTATTTACTTTCGCGGACGGCACTGAATAATAAACGAGAAACCAGAGTAGGTTCAGTAATTTCTTCCGCGAATGTTATTTCAATCGAACGAATACAAACTTCTAAAATCTGTCTTAATTAAATCAAATCCGATTAAATCGATCCAGTTGAATAAATCTTAGATGATTAATTCTATCAAATAGGAATGATGATTTTTATTTTATAAGAAACAGTATTTTTACATGTTTTGTTCATATTTTAATATCGAATTCAACTGTGCGAGACAATCAACTTTTCGAAACAATCTTCTTTTATAATTTTAAATCGTTGGAACTGTTTTGACGTATTCGACCTGACGAATGAACAATTAATTCCAATCTCTGCCGCAAGCTTTCGCTCGCAAGAATTCATATAAAAAGTATATTGTTTGTCGAAACACAAACAGTGTTGATTAATTGGAAGTTAACAGTAAAGGAACCACGACGGTCTCATGTGACCAGAAACCAAATCACTTCTGCCGCGTTTCGGGGAAGCTTTCGGGGTGACAACGCTTGCGCAAGCGGTGTAGTATGCTTCAGCCTGGCTAACTAGAACGAACGGCACGCTACCATGCGAGCCTCAGTTTCAACCAGATCCTCGCCGCGCCGGGATGAGGCAATTTTCGCTTCACGCGAAACATCGAAACATAGTTTTTCATAAATAAAGTTAACATATTTTTCTGCGTTTTCAATCATTTTCAAACTATAATTAATTCTAAATCGCTGGAAGCGAGACAGAATAATTTTTATCGACGATGCTGTCGAACCACGTGAGAAGTGAAACCGCAAACCCTCTTAACGTAATCTTTATTAATTGAGAAAGTAAAATATTAAAAATTGAAATTATATAAAAGACTTTTATGGATATTAAGCATCATTATTCAGCTTTCTTGTTTAAATTATTTCGTAGACATGATTTGAGTTAATAACAACGATTCCTTTTATCATCTCACGAATAAGTGAATTCAGTGAACCGTGATGAATTGAAAATAATGAAGGGGAATCGGAGCGCGCGTTCGGAGAAGTCGCTCGGTTGAAAGCCTTCGGGGTTGACTGTATAAAACTACATGGCAACGTCAACAGTGTCGGGACATCATGAAGCCGTCAAGAAAAATTCCACCGAGCTTCTTGATCGGATTTCCATGAACAGCTGTCCGCCGAGCAGCTTCCCGGATAAATTCCAAGATTTTTTCGCCACCCCTTACGAAGACTCCGACGATCTGCCCAGCATGCTTGAGGATAAACTCATTCCTAGGTATACAATCGAATTTTCACTAATCGATAGTTTTATAAACAATCAATTTTCATATAATTTTAATATCTGTAAAAAGTACACTATAGTAAGAATTTATTTAGATGATTTAATGAAGTGTTTTTTTTAATACTTTCAGTATAAGAATATATAAATTGTTTTTTATTAATATTATAATCATTCCATCAATTATAATGTTTGATATGTAAAATAATTTTGAGCCTGTTCTTAAATCTCCACACCCGTCTACGTAAATCGTTCGTTGTTGCGATTACGCGCAGATAATTAAGTGTAATTAAAGTTGTAGAATTCACAAGGGTGTTCCTTTATTTATCGAGCTCCTCGACCCGGTTCCATTCGACCAGAAATCGCGCTGCGGCTAGAATCGGAATTATGAGTACATAATGTAATCTCAATTGCTGAAACTGTCGTCCGTGCTCCACGTGAAATTTGACTACTTGCACCACGTCGACAGGCAGCCTTGCCTCGAGCACAATTCCAACGTGATACATTTGAAATTCACTTCAGTTTCTTTTCATGAAAAACTTTAAATGACAATTATAATATATTAAGAATTTCAATAGAATTAATATGTTCATAATTGCTACAATCCGCGGAGCATCCAACTTTAAAGTATTTTCTTCTACCTTGTAAACATGTCTTACAATTAGAAATCAGTTGATCTATTGATCTCTGTAGTCAAATTTCCTGCCGGCCTGCCAAACGAACCTCCAAATCACACTGATTCTACTCGTCGACCAGTGTTTCTCTTCCGTTGAAGCACAGACATTGCTCGGGTGAAATGCCGATTTAATTAGAGCAGGAACCTCGCGAATTACAGCACACCACGACGAGCATTAAGTGTCTCTAAAAATAGCCGGGTCGCATTGTTGCTTAACGAAATTATTTTCTCCTTTTACCAGTAACTCGATTTTATGCCAAGTGCGTTTGCTGGCTACGTAACGGTGCTATATACGGAATAATTTCTAATAATAAAAGGATCACGATGTATATAATTAAATTTGTATAAGAACCACTTTACACTTCAAATTCTGAATCTCGCTAATATTTAATTTACTAGAACAGTGTTGATTTTAATTTGAGCATAAATAACATTATAAGAAGTAACAGTGTTACATCGCAGTTTGAACTGAACATCTGGCATAAACGATGGTTGATCTAAACAGAACCACACGAAATTTAACGTAGTAACACCGAGGATAGGTACGCTCCTAGAAATAAGCGCGAACGCGCGCGTACCCATTAACTCTCAAATCGAATTTGAATAGCTTGCGGTACAGAAATGGAAACGTTACGATTTTATCATTGGGAAATCGCATTTCCTGTCTCTTCTACCCTTCACATGAATTCGTACAAGTGTGGGACAACCGCGAGACAGCGCGGCGTTTCATGCGGAACGGGAAGCCAACCCGCAAATGGAAGACTCACAGATTCAGTTTTACACGATATAAAGCGATTTCGCACTAGCCCACGCGAATTGAACAAAAAATTGATGTTGTGAAACGAACTTATCAAGTGCGATGAGCTCGATAGTTCGTTTTAAACTCGGTCAAGGATTTCGATCAATGCTCAAATCGCGTTCATTAAAATAATAATTAGCTGCAGATGTGTATCAATTAGCTGCTTTCATTGCATCCTCTTACACAAGACGATGGATCTGCGTAATATAAAGAATTGCTTTGCAACATCTATTGTATTGGGTATTTTTATGCAAAGCGAGACATCCATAGTATCAGTTTAAAAATTCATATTTAGATTAATACTCCTTTCACGATGTCAGCTTTTGATATTCTGAATAGTTTTATACATTACGCGTAGCCTTTGGAATTTCTAAATTATGAATACGTGAAATCTGCAGTCTAGTAATGAGTTTCATTGTGAGTACAGTTTTAGAATTAAAGTATACAATGTAACTTAATTGCGGTTGCAAATGCAGCGAATAACGTATGACGCAGCGTAACGATGTGATAAAAGTTTACCTCAGACCAGCCTCGGAAGTAACGTAGGTGTCTGGTTTAAAAATCTGCAATGCGAGCCAGAAAGTGCTTTTTCCCATTATCTCTCGCCGTATCTTATCATCCACGAGGTACGCGTTATCTCGATTGTAATCCTGCTAGTGAGCCTCTTCTTATTTAAAAGAACACCCCTCAATCACTTGACCCACCCCTGACAAAATTGCATCACGAAAATGGGGAACCAATTATTTTTTTTTCCTTTTCTGCCGACTCATCGTTCTTGCGAACCGTGATTCTTTCAGAAAGCAGCAGACCTCGAACACCGACTCGAAGAGCAAACGATGGAGCAAGAGGGCGTTCCAAAGAAGGAGTAGCGAGGTCGAAGTTCGGCTACACCGCACCTCCTTGACGGAATCCCAAGGACACTCGAGCGTTGACGGTTCCAAGTCGCCAACCCCGTCCAGACGACGTAGCTCCAGCATCGCAGTAGCCAGACACACCCCCGACTTGCCCAGGTAGGCAACAATACTTATGTTAAACAATTATGGTAGTTCATATAATATTAACAAATAATATGAACAGCTACTGATTAACATAGTTGATCAAATGATCGATACTATATTATAATTGAAATATTACTTCAGTACTGATTAGTCCTGCACTTGACTACTCAAAAGAACTCAGGTCGTTTGGTTAAATGTAAAAAAATTATTCTAAAATATCTGTTAATTTTTTCCCAAGGAAAGTGGTCGGGCCATTTTCACCACAGAGTATCGTGCAGTTAAGTTTCCGCATCTATTCTCATACATGGCTCTTTTTTTTTTAATCCGAACTTTTTATACGACAAAGCTTTGCAAACGTTCACGTAATTACTTTCTTAATTACTTTTAACTTTGAGAAAGTTTGAAATTATGTGATGGTCTTCCACTTTCTCGCGTGTGTTGTTACTTAACTGGTACCAATTTCAAACATGACATTTTTCAAGTAAGTCTCGCAATCTCGTATTGTCTTATGGAAAGTTCGCTTGTAACAAACTTATTTAATTTCAGTTTGTTTAATTAACCTTTCTTTCAAGTTTCTATCAGTTTATCAATTGTGTAGGAGTCCCTTTTAGTTCGCACAGTACACACTCGTAAAATCATTAGGTACTAATGATAAAATAGTAGGTAGTGTGTAGCAAATGAATTTAAATAAAATGTTAGCAGATTATATCGTGTATTAAATAGAATGTAATTTCGCCTTAATTATCATTTGAGTATAATTTTAGTAATTATCAAATAGATTTCACACTTTGAAAAGAAAATATCTGAGTATTATAAAATCCTCCTGACGTTATAAATAGCACTGAAGATTTTTTAATTCTCCAAATTTATCGTGAACGAACAACAGCCACGGAATTGCGTGGGACTGAAACAACTTCTAATTTCATTATTTTCCCGGTTTATTATTGTCAGGTATCATTATTTTCAAAATCAAACCTCATTATTTCTCCAGTGTGTGATTTTCTGTTGAATTATTTATACTTCGTTTTAAAATATAAATTGTAGATACCGATTATTTTTATCGTCTCTATCCATTTTGATATTGTTATGATTTTCACAATAATCATTATCCAAGACCTGGATTCCAAAATTCGTACTTGATACTACAAGTAATCTTAATAATTACAATATGAGCACTTTGAAGCTGATACAAAAGCGGGATTAAACGATATTTCAGAATAGAGATCCTGTAATCTAGTTTAATGCCGTGTTACCTTGTAATTTAAATTCCTCTGGTGTTACCATAGTAACAGTATCTATGGAATATCATGAATTGCATTATTTATGGATCGTTCACTTCCTTGTTTCCCTATTTACAATCATCGTAATCTATCACTCTCCTCCTTTTAAAAATTGTACAAAATGAAAAAACAATGTAATAATGACATTAATAAGAAATTTTATTTATCCGTTTGAAATCTGAATAGATCATCAATTATCCGAATAGACTATCACTCATAAATTTGACAATATATATTATCCATACATCATTAGCAACAAAATTATTTCACCAATCAATTAATGACGACTCTTACTGCTGTAACGTTAATACACCTACTTAAAACTGCTAATGGTCGTCCAATAAACAATTTAAGCACCATTTGATTTTCAGTAAATCTACATAAGGCAATCCATTCAAAAAATTTAATCATTTATTTAAATTCCACAAATCTAAATTGATGAGACTTCCAATATTCTTTCAATTCCTGTAATGTCACATTTTTACATTTTCTAATAAAAAAGAAATAATTTACATAATTGTCCTCTATTATTTAAATAATATACCTTATCTGATGTTTAAACATCAGATACTCCCATTGTTTACAAGATGACCTAATTCGTAAAACTGTATTGTAAATACTTGCCTTCAAAAATAGATATCGATTAATATTTGAATCAAATCTAACGTGACTCGTAATAAAATAGGTTTTTACAAGCGGAGGCCGGTCCTTGGGGCCATTTATCACCGTCACCAAGGAGTCCTACCAGAACGCCAGCAATAAGTCCAGGTGCCATGTCTGCTTCGTCCCATTTGAGCCCAGGGGCAAGTCCTGCTGGTCCGAGTCCCACAAGCCCCGCTGATCCTGCTGGTTCCGCTTCCGGATCTCGTGGTCCAGGACCAAGACAATACCGTGGAAGGACAAGCAGTATGCCAGCAGTGCCCCGGCACAGGGTAAGTCGTAAAAATAATTTTTGTTTCAACAAAACGTTATTCGACGTTACGCGAAACATTATGCAACGCGAAGTCTACTTTTAATTACGATTAACATATATGCAGTGCACATTGCCATTGGTAAAAGTGTTTTACTCTATTATTTAGTCTGGCTATTAGTAAAAGCGTTTTCATGTGTAAACGGAATTACAACGTGTATAAGACGCAGAAAGCACGGGATTTTTATCATTATTCCTGTATTCAACCTAATTGCGCCAGTAACACTCTGCTGAATAGGAATGAAAGAGGTGAAAAATGCTAATGAGGATCTTTTCGACTGTTCTCTGAAATTTTCGTACAAGCTCTGAATAAGACTGCTGCAGGATGCACGCATTCACACGTAGCTTTACTTACACGATTTTTAATCTCAAAACCATTAAACCGTACTCAACGTTAAACGCGTAACAGACATAATTGTCACATGAGGTATAAACGCATAACAGGCACAATTATTACATGAAATATAAACGTTGAGTGAACTTTATCTTCGTTTATTAACTTCGACCTTTCGTATTTCTGTTCCCACTTCAATTTGTAAACCGTTTTAAAAATCGATCATATTATGAAACAAATAAACAGGTTACTGTTGTACTAACAAAATTCACTCGAATATCGCATAATTAAATTTAATCAAGAACAATCGCAGGGAATTAACGTGCCAATACGAATCGGAACGAACGATCCCCTTTAAGTTGGCAGAAGAAGAAAAATTCACGCGCTCGGAAAGCAACGGCGCGGTATTGTACTCGGGATACTTCTTTCGCCTAAAACAATGGAAGTGTACGCGTCGGGAACGAGATCGATAACGTTCCGGTTTCATTAATTTCTGGTACTGTTGCCGGCACCGGAGGCAACTAAAATACACCAGTCTGATCGTCGTCCACGTGACATACGTCAAGGAAATCAGAGACGAACGAAAATCGTCACCGCATTTACTAAAACGGGTAGCGAAATCAATTATTACCGTCGTTATTCGCGTTGCTAGGATCCCTAGCCAAAGGCTAAATCAAGACAAGATGAAATAATGCAGGATGTTACGTAACGTACCTGCATTATCTTAAAGCAACATTTTCAGTATAAGATTGCAGAGTATTTTAATGATTACATGATATATCGATTGGAACATAAAATTTGGGTAAATAATTGTACAAGCGTATCTCTCGACGTCTTCATTGTTCAGTAATTTAGTAATAGGAATAATTGTAAAAAATGAAATGAGCTCATTAACTCCTCTGTTATTTATCATTAAACACACAAACTGTGATTCAGTCAGTTATTATTTAATCAATATATTCACATAGGCTTTGTCTCCTTCGTTAGACATTACATAAAAACAGACCAGTGGTTCATGAAATTTTTCGTACATCTTTCACATACACAATTTATCGACGAACAAATGAGAAAGCGCACGGATAAAAATACTACTTTAATATCAAATCGTGGACGTTCGAATACAACAAATGGGTACGCGGTTCGACACAATAGTGGACTCGAAAAATACGAAGTCGAAGGTGGTTTGTACAAAAGAGGTTTGGCTCACGCCTGGATCTCGATGGCCAGACCGACTTTGTGACCGCCCCTGAGCACGTTGCCGCAGTCGACGTTGAACGACAGCGTCAGCATCACGTGCTCGTCCAACTTCTGCTGCAAGCTCATGCCCAGTTGTAGATCGGTGTTGAACTTGCAACGGAGCGCCGAACGATCGTCAATGTTGCACTTGGCAGCTGCGCCTAACGTCCAGTTCTGGACGCCCCCGTTGACCGCCAGGATTCCGTTGATCGCGGTGTCCCAATCCGCCGTTACTTCAAACATCAACCATTTCGTTATTCAACACTTACACTTGTACTATGTGTTTCATTGAAGCTTCATTTTTAACTTAATTTTCTACAAAATTCTTAAATCAAAATTACGCTTGTCGAATATCAAAATATTAAATAGAAAAATAATTTATCGTCGTCAATTGGTGTAACCATAAATTCTTTCTAGGTTTCTGTAATAGAAGCAAATCGAAATTACGAACTGATATGAAAATGCATTATGCGATTGGTTAATCCAACTGACACGAATTCGAGCGCGATGGATAATAATTCCGTGCACGAGTCATGTCCATTTCGGAGATCGTTCTGACGTTTGGCCAACATCGCAGTCAGCTTCATCAGCAGTCTGAGGACGATGCAGCGGCAGTGACGTCTATTTAAGTTGCCATTTACTCGTGTCACGGATCGTTAATCAACGGTCCCAGGTTTCAATTGATCGATCGCTGAACGCGGCCGACGAACCGTCCGATGATGGATTATTAAAAAGCTCGATCATCACGAATTATCTTTTATAGTTGAGACGATTTTACACTAATTGATTCTTCGTGTTAATAATCCAACCACTGTGTACTACTTGTTTAACTTGTCGAAGATTTTACAAATAATAATGAATTCTCTATTTCATGAATGCTACATGAGAAATCTATGAAATCAATGAAATTGCGAACTCAATGAATATCGTGATAATTCAGATGACAGTTTGTATTGACTCGGGCAAGCTTGATTGCGACCTACATTTATTTCGTTACCCAGTTTAATGATGTACCCAACCTTTTCCCATTTATATTTAAATTTCATGAAAATAGACAAAGTATGAAAGTGTGAACTTTCGTCGCGCAAGCATTTGCATAAAAGGTATTTTCGTGCGACGAGAACCGAAACGAACTCTTTGTGACAAATAAACATTTCATACCGTTGCTCTGTTTGCATCAAAGATTATGCTTGAATATTAAATTTCGGGTACGCGCTCTCCTATGGTTTAGACAGCTAATAAATATTCAACGCGTTAAAAGGTTCTTAGAAAGAAAAAAAACCGAAGCAAGAAAGACGCCATGTCAATTTAATCCCGCGCCCGTGTGAGGATCTTCAATACTTAAACCATGGATTTGTTTGTGAAAATGGTGTCTATCAAACATAAATTTTCAAGATCAGCTTCAAACTTGAAGAGTTAATGGTAGACAGTGATGATTAATGGGAGATCATTATATTTTTTTAAAGGATTAATAATGCCAGTCATTTGGAAAAGCTTCTGGCAGCGTAAGTCTTCGCTAATTGAGCAACGAGATTTCATTATGAAGCGGACGTTGTTTGTACGAATTTAATTGGGTGTTCGTTTACACCTTATAGAGGAACGAGCGCGTGCGTTGCCTCGCGACGTAATTGGAACCATCACAACGAATCCTCTTACAATTATCTATCCTAATTTTAACTCGCAGACTAATGATATATAACGTGCTTATTACGGATTGTTAAGGCAATGAGCACATTCTTGGTTACGTAATCAAGTAGAGAGTGTGAAAACAATTTCAAAATAGATATTAGAACTCAGCGCGTTGCCATGATTTACATTTCCGTTTCAACGTCTTTCTCAGCAATAAAATAATGTTTACCGGGGCCATAAACAAATCAAAATTTTGATGTCGTTTCACCGTCAGTCTAAAAATAAACGAATAAAAGTAAACCATTGTCCTGTAGCCAATATCAGAATCGAATTTCAATGCTCGGATCCCAAAGAAGCTTTATGCATTTTTTTCCTATTCGCGGGACAAGGTTTGAAAAAATCAACGAAAATTCACGGTACGAAGGTATTTTCCGCACCATCAGATTTATCCCGTCGTCAGAGAGAAAGGACGGAAGAGAAGGCCGCGTATCACGCGTGGGCGAGGAAACGGAAGAACGAAAATGGGGAAAAAGCTCGACGACGATATTCGAGTCTTCGCTCAAATGCGGACAGTCGTTAACCCGGGATTAACTTGACGGATCTGATACCTGTTTATTCCCTCCTCTCGATGATTCCGTAATTACACCTGCGCGTATGCGAGGATTGTAAAATATGCATAGAACAGCCAACCTGGGTCATATCGCATGTGCGTCCCACTCGACGCAAATCAAAAATGCATGTTTTTTAAGCGAAAGAAGACTGAATATAATTAGGTAGCGTTAATCAAACGTATGAACACGAGTTTTATGCATTTATAAAGGAATTGAGTGCGCAGAAAGTGCAAAGAATGTAATGTATAAAAATATGTGAAATATTAAAAGCATCTCAAGTACTTAAATGATGATGGAAAAACGTAAATGTTTCATCTCGCACTCTAAAAGAAGTCTGCTTCGGGATGTTTGCCACGAATCAACAGAACATCTTTTCATTATAATCGAATTCTACTCTGTTTCCGGGAGATGCGAGTAAACAAGGAAGGCAGGGGTTGTTGCCTCACCGCCCCGACATGAATTTCAATATTTGGCGATTAAACTCCGATAATCCCTTGGTCAATAAAGGCTGAAGATTATCGACTTTAATATCGTGTTTCGCCGATTCGTTGATCTTTCAAGTTTCATAGGTAACTTGTTCATTAGTTTCCCTCTGCCGTGTAATCGATAACCGGGTGAACTATTACACGAAGCTTGCCAAGTTTGCTTTAACGTTTCATCGATTTCATCGTTCAAGATTTCAGATACTCCACGGTTATAAATTTAATCTTTCGTCGAAAGTTTATTAAGAAAGTTTTCTAACTACGATTTGAAATAAGGAATGAAGAATTCAATTATTTCATGATCCTCTTCTGATCGTGAAAAACATTCCATTGCCTAATTACATAAAAAATGAATTGAATTAAATTTAGGCTTGTTCGAGAATTAAACAATTTGAAGTCACATGAGCATCATATAAATAATTAAACCTTCTTGAAAATAATAAAAAGAAGTGTTGCATTAAATGATATAAAAGTAATTTCGACTTTTCGCGTTTGTAAATAATGAAAATTTGTAACCTTTATATAAAAGAGAGAGCCCGTACTCGTGCGGTATGGAGGTGCACCGGAGGTAAATGCCCATGTCCTCGTAATCGAAGACCATCGCCAGATCGTTCTTCGTCATTTTGTTGGTTTCCGTGTTGTAACCGGCCTGGTAGCCAATCAGCAACCCCTTTATAGCAGTCACTGCCGATCCCAGAAGGGTCACGTTCGAGTTCATGTCGCTTGCTGCAGGAAAAACCAATTTGTTCGCTTGTCAAACTTTTCGCTTGTGTTGAAAAACAGGAATGCGCGCAATAATCGTTTCAAATATTTAATCAAGTGAAAAAATGATAGAACAGTTTCTCGGAATATTGTCCTCAAACATCTTTTTCGTAAAGAATAGTACTTCGAAATTCTAATTATACCGAATCGGCTTTGTTTCCATTCTATTCTGACAATTCTACTTATACATACATACATACATATGTATGTACATTTGGTACATATGGAAACTTTGACAGAATCCTGCACAGTTTCGTTGGTAAACATCAAACGTTCCCTAATACGGAATCCGAGCAGAGTCAGTTTAAATCCAACAATCGCGCGTATCGTTATTAAATCTGTCTGGGCCGCAAACGAATTTCATTTAATACGTCGGTTATTAGCTTCGACAACAGCTTGATACGACGAATTAACGTTACGTTTAAATGTCAGACACGAATGAAAAGGTAAGATTCGACTACAAATGCTTATTCATTTAAAGAATTCAAGAATTTTTATTTTCTTCCTCACTGGAGAATTATTAAATCGCGAATTAAAAGCCAACGGATGATGTGTACACGTGGAAATATCTGAAGGTCGGTCAAATTATCGTTTCGTTCTGGATAAATTGAATTATTTAAAGTGGATAGCAAATTAATAAAATTGTTTCGAATTGTTTTAAATTAATCGTTCGCATCACACTGGCATTTCAATCTAAATTAAGTAGAATTAATAAACGTAAATAAACTGTTCGCAACATGATAAGTAAATAAATATTAAAACGCAGAGGAAAATAATAAAGTGATTGAATTAATAACGTGAAATTATTTATTAATTATCCGATGATTAGACTACGGATTTGATGCATTTATGAAAACGTGAAATCTGCAGAAATTAAAAATGTATGAAGCTATTCAGAATATCAGAGGCTGAATACATGCTGCAATATTTAAATAATAAAAAAAGATATTCGACTGGGGCATTTTTCAAATCGATGCCATGAACGTTTCGTTTTGCGTAGAAATACGCAGTTTAATGATTATGTGAATTCAATGAAGGAGTGATGAAATTGACTAACAGATCCAGCAATTCGCGTTGAAGGCTTGCTTCGTGCATTTTCCACCGATTTTTATACTTCTCGCCGTGGTTTCCGGATTGTAACTAATTTCCGAGATCAGGCCAGTGTCTGGGATTAACACTCCGTAGACTCTGTAACCCAATATCAAAGTGCTATCCAACGTCCATTTCTGCAAGAAATTGCCGCTCTGTGTTTTGTACTCGGCTTCCGCGCTGCCAGTCAACTGGAAAATATAAAAAATTATATCATTTGCGTAATAATTATTACACAGCTCTCTTTCCTTCTGCAGTTATTCATTTTACTTCTCATAGTCTGTATATTCTTGGATATTGAAAACATTGTTACAAGTTACAATTTTTCTACAAATACACAATATCTGCAATCTAGGAATCTGTGTACGTACACAAAAGATTACCTGACTGATTTCTAATATATCAACGCCTAATTTCAATCACTGATTCTAGAAACATGGGAAAATAGGATTCTTTTATGATCTAGGCACTCATTAAGAACAGATTTCCCAGAATTTCATCACCAGATGCAAATGGGTGAAATGTATTTCTAGAAATTTTTTAGAGCTTCCCTTAAAATATTTCATTTATCGATTTGGTTTTTATTCCAATACGTTACAAAATGATGTACGTAAAATCAATTTTAGATACTATCTCTTATAACTGGGTGAGAGTGATGACTTGATTTTTATCAAATGTGGTTCTAAATGAACTAATAATTAATTCTATAAATTTATAATACGTGCAAAGTTGAAAGTAAGTAAAGTAATCAAGACGTAGTGAAAACTAGAAAAATGTGCACTAGATTTTAACGTGTTTTAAAAGCGTTGTTCCCATAAAAATAAATTCTTATGCAAGAGTTGAATGACGTGAGCAGGAATGAAATATTGTACCTTGGAAGTGTCGTAATCCAAGCTCAAGTCGCTATTCAGTTGCAGTTCGCTGGACGTCGCTTTAGCGCCAAATTTAATGAGATTCTTGCCATAATGGTAGCCAGTTCGGAAAATGTCTCTAGCTCTTTGTCCAAGATCACCGAAGCTCGGTACACTCATGACGCGTTACTCGATGATGTGACTCGATGACGCACTCGATCGATTTAACTACAAAACCTGACTGTCTTTACGCTTAAACATTTTCAAAATTCATTATCAAATGCCTAATCCCAGTTGAAAAGCCTATGAAAATAGTAACACATCGTTTCATCGGTGTCAGAAAAAAAAGTATGCAATTATCGCTTCACCGAAATCGGTTTCAGAAAAAAGAAAGTATGCAATTATAAACAACATAAGTAAAAGAAACATTGCAATTATATAAAAAAATAATATACACTTAATATATTCATTGTGTTGAACGGAAACGAGCCTCGATATTTCAGAATACAATGAAACGTACAGGTGAATCCGAATGCTTGTTCGAAACGGGAAATTGGAAGATATTGTTCGTTAGCATTCGGTGGATATTTTTGTTACTTCGTTACGTATTTCGATAGCCTGGGGTTAAGGAGCGGCACTCACTAATAGACAGATACGTCGACGTGAACGGGCTCGACGATAAACGTAACGATCCTTTCGATCGTGTGCAACATCGCCTTGTCCTTATCCTTCGTTTAAACGGTCCGGGACAATCACCGAGACCTTCGAAGAAAACCTACAGTTCCTAGCTGCCTAAATTAGTTTTTAGCCGTTTTGACAGGAATTAGGCGATAACAGTGCCATTGACGTTTCGTTCACGGTTAACGAGCCGCGAGAAAAATTGTTGCGAGTCACGTCGCGAAGGCAACGAGTTTCTACTGGCGGTTCCTCAAATTTAATTCCATCCCTCGAACGTTCAATCATAAACAATTTAAATAATAATTTACTTGTACCATGCATTTATAGTANAAAAAACATATTTTTGATGTTACATGAAGTATATTTAATGCGATTTAAAGCGCAATCGTCTTAGCGTCGTCGACGAAAAACAGAAATGCCTAATTGAATCTGATTAAATGGCCTAATAATTACAGCTTCAGAATCGATTAACCGAATATCGATTAAATGCATCCACCAACACTCCCCTTAATTGCGCTCTCGTTTTCCCACGCGATAAACTTTCCAGCCGGAAAATTGGCTTCGCACGGATCACCAGTAAGAACGATTAAATCGTGCTAAACATTTCTATAGCATTCGTAAGCCAAACGTTCCTGGATGAATTTAAACGAAATGATTAATTTATATCGCCCGTCGTGGCACGTGAAAAATAAAAGAGCTTTAGACGTGCGCCAAATTAAAATAATATCAAATGTACGCGTCGCTCTTATGGGAATATTGAATTATGAACGGATTTCTGTGCTCGTGTACTTCGCAATGCTTTTTGTACCAATTAACTGAAATGACGTTAATTAATGAAAATATCTGTTATATACATATATATAACAGTCGTAATTTGCTGCACGATTCTGACAAATATGCACTTAATCAAAATTGATGGAATATGTAATTTTTCATTGACATTAAAACACGGCAAGGCAAGGCACTTTAGAAATTCACAGCTGGGAATAAGGGGCTTGGAGCTCAAGTTGTCTCAAATTGGAAGGAGAATAGGGTCTCTGGTGGAAAATGGAAAATTGGCTGGGATGGAAGGAGGAAAATCCGTCGCGTGCGATTTTTCGAAATGTCGAAACGGGAGGATTTCACTCGTGGATCGTATCGAAATCTAACAGCTCCTCGAACGTCGAACGGATTTTTCGTTTCAGTGTGCATGGAACGTGGCTACTCGAATCGCGTGAAACTTCCGGCGAGAGCTAGCGGAGAGACGGGTACTTGGATGTTACACGGTAGAGTGTTGTTGAAACCAGACCCCGAGATCGTCAGTTGATATTGTCTCGACGTTCGAGGCCTCTTCGAGGACTCGTTCGACGTGCGTTTCCCTCTGGAAAACTTAGATAGTGGGAGAGAGA